ATTTTAGGGAAGAGTCTACAGGGTGTTCAGGGTCTCATTACTAGATCAGACTCATAGTGATTCTCCTGTTTACAGCCTCCCAAGTGCTGGGATTACAGAAGCGTGCCATCACGCCCAGTCTCAATTGCTATCTCAGTGTACCCTGGGGTGGGGCCAGCACAGCAGACCCAGGGATCAAACCCCTGGGCCCTGCGCCTGTTTGCAGGTACTTTAATTTGCTCAGCTATATGGCTGGCCCCTTCACATATAATTTGTCTTCCTAACTTCTTGGGTTTCCCACCTGGGTACTAGCTAATGTTCTGACCTACCCCCGTGTTCTTCTATTCTGTCCCTTAGAGCTATCCACTATACTAGTTGAATGGAATTCCACCAAGGCTCCTTGTTCCTGGCTAGCCAAACGAGAGATCAAAATGGTAGATGGAATCGTCTCAAAATTTAGTTAAGAGCAAGGCTGAGGCCAGAACAACAAGATAGGGGCATAATGAAGAGAAGGTCACCTTTGTTGGTCTGGAAGGGAACAGTAAATCTAGAACCCAGCCCCAGGAATAAATGAGTAAATTCTGAAAGGTGAAGAGTATGATCAATTACACTTCATAGTTAACAAAGGAAGTTACTACAGTATTTGATTTTTTTAGGCATATTATTGCAAATATTTATAAAAATACAAGCCTCTACTTTCTTGTGTGTGGTTAGCAGAGTAAGTAAATCTGTGCATTCTGAGAGTCACACTCTCAGATCTCAGGAAGCTCTTCTGAATATAGACTCAGGATTTAGGGCTGCAAATGCTCAGGCAGACTTTCCACAGTTAGGCTTTGACCAACTGATGGCCCGTGCAGTGTAGGGTATTTAGCAGCATCCCTGGCCTTGACCCACTGGATGCCAGTAGCACCCTCATCACCAAGTCATGCCAATTTAAGGGTTCCCTGGACATAGTCAACTGTACCCGGAGCACAACATTGCCCTTATTTGAGAACTGCTGCTCATAGGGATTGATGTACTAGGGAGTCTTTTAGAGCCAGGGGTCAAGGGCTTCTGCAGAGCAGGTCTGAGCCCCTGTATCCCTGCCCAGGCGCGCATCGAGGAGCTGGAGGAGGAGCTGGAGGCTGAGCGTGCTGCCCGCGCCAAGGTGGAGAAGCTGCGCTCAGACCTGACCCGAGAACTGGAGGAGATCAGCGAGCGGCTGGAGGAGGCCGGCGGTGCCACGTCCGTGCAGATCGAGATGAACAAGAAGCGCGAGGCCGAGTTCCAGAAGATGCGGCGCGACCTGGAGGAGGCCACGCTGCAGCACGAGGCCACTGCCGCGACGCTGCGCAAGAAGCACGCAGACAGCGTGGCCGAGCTGAGCGAGCAGATCGACAACCTGCAGCGGGTGAAGCAGAAGCTGGAGAAGGAGAAGAGCGAGTTCAAGCTGGAGCTGGACGATGTCACCTCCAACATGGAGCAGATCATCAAGGCCAAGGTATGCCCTCTGGGCCTCTGCTCACCTCCTTCTTCCTCACAGCTGTGCCATTCTCTCTCCCTTCTTCCCTTTGCTCTTCCCTCCTCTCTTCCTAGACCCTCTCTGATGCTCACCCACAAGTGTGCTCTTAGCTTCCTCCCTCCTTAATTCAGATGCCTTCAGATTGACCACACACACACACACACACACACACACACACACACACACAATGCCTGGGTGGCCACCCTCCTTCATCCTGTGCTCTCTCAGCTGTGACCCTTTCTTCCTTTCTCTGTCTGGGGGACCTGGTCACATACTCTGACCCTTCCCACATTCATCTTCCCTGTATCCACTGCTGCCTAAAGGCAAACCTAGAGAAAGTGTCTCGGACCCTGGAGGACCAGGCCAATGAGTATCGCATGAAGCTGGACGAGGCGCAGCGCTCCCTCAGTGACTTCACCACTCAGCGAGCCAAACTACAGACGGAAAATGGTTAGTGCCTCTGGCAAACCCGTGCTGGCCCTGGGTAGAACATTGGCTACCCCTTCCCGTGTGCCACAAACCCTTTATTCTGCCTCTAGGAGAGTTGGCCCGGCAACTAGAAGAAAAAGAGGCGCTGATCTCCCAACTGACCCGAGGCAAGCTTTCCTACAACCAGCAGCTAGAGGATCTCAAGAGGCAGCTAGAGGAAGAGGGCAAGGTGAGGCCCGGTGGGGCCAGTGAGACAGGTTTGATGGAAGCCCTGGACAATGGACCTCACCTCCAGAAACAGACCTGGGATCCTCTGGAATGGAAAGGTCTCCATTCAAGGTTCTATCCCTCAGCTAAGCAATAGCCAGAATCACTTAATGCTTCTCACTTGTAAGGACATGGGGTGGGTAAACAAGGAAACCAAAGACATTGAGATTCTACCTCAACCCACAAGCTGGCGAAGGCTGGGGCTCCACTGAAGTAAACAGAGAGAAGGATCTAGAGAATGTGGCAGGAAGAAAGCTAAACATGGTGATGAACACCTGTGGTCCCAGACTGAAATGGCAGGATAACTTGACCACATGGGTTTGAGAACAAGAGACAGGGATTCCCTCCTAACTCCTGGTATTCTTGTCTCCCCAGGCCAAGAACGCCCTGGCACATGCACTGCAGTCGGCCCGGCATGACTGTGACCTGCTGCGGGAGCAATATGAGGAAGAGATGGAGGCCAAGGCCGAGCTGCAGCGTGTGCTGTCCAAGGCCAACTCGGAGGTGGCCCAGTGGAGGACCAAGTATGAGACGGATGCCATCCAACGCACTGAGGAGCTGGAGGAGGCCAAGTAAGCTCCATATATCCCACTCTGATTCTCAGAGAGCAAGGAACAAGAGGACTGGGGATGGGACAGTCAGAGTGGATATAGGAAAGAGGTTTGGGGTAGGAGAGATGGAAAGATGGGGAAGAGAGGTGCTGGAGAGAAAGCCTGGATCCTGCGATCTATAAACCCTGGCTGGCCCTGAACCACTTCCTGTGACGGGCGAGCTTTTGGCCCGGGTTATACCTGATGCTCACGTATAAGACGAGCAAAAAGCTTGTTCGTCAGAGGAACACTCGTCATTCGGCCTGGGAGGTGGGCAAGGGAGGTGCTACCAGTCGGATGCACTGCACACAGGGAGGTCCCTAGGCAACCTGTTTTGTTAGACTCTATTCTGGGCACCAGCAGCCTTAGCTCCCTCTGGAGCCTGAAGTTCCATTATGCTAGAAACTGTGGAAAGGGGTGGGGTCTTCAATGGCAGTGCAAGGAAGGAAGGGTACCAGGGCCCTACTGTTCCTAAGTAGAGTCACACACATCCTCCCCGGCAGGAAGAAGCTGGCCCAGCGGCTACAGGATGCCGAGGAGGCTGTGGAGGCCGTCAACGCCAAGTGCTCCTCGCTGGAGAAGACCAAGCACCGGCTACAGAATGAGATCGAGGACCTCATGGTGGATGTGGAGCGCTCCAACGCTGCCGCAGCAGCCCTGGACAAGAAGCAGAGGAACTTCGACAAGGTGGGCAGTGGGCTGGAATAGCAGCCAGCGTGCGGGGCAGGGGCACTGGGAGGACAGTGTCAGGGCGAGGCCAGAGCCGACCTCTGGGCAGCCAGGGGAGGAGGGCTGCTGAGGCCAGGCAAGGGGCCCACAGTACCTGGGCTGCACAGTGAGCTGTGTCCCCTGCAGATCCTGGCTGAGTGGAAGCAGAAGTATGAGGAGTCACAGTCAGAGCTGGAGTCGTCCCAGAAGGAGGCGCGCTCCCTGAGCACCGAACTGTTCAAGCTCAAGAACGCATATGAGGAGTCACTGGAGCACCTGGAGACCTTCAAGCGGGAGAACAAGAACCTGCAGGGTGAGCTGGTGGTCAGAGGGGTCACAAGCAGTGTCCCCAGGGGAGGGCCAGGAGTAATGCAGAGGTTTGAGCTGTCTTGCTCTCTGACCCCCAGAGGAGATCTCAGACCTGACTGAGCAGTTGGGAGAAGGAGGAAAGAATGTGCACGAGCTGGAGAAGATCCGCAAGCAGCTGGAGGTGGAGAAGTTGGAGCTGCAGTCGGCCCTTGAGGAGGCTGAGGTGAGCGCGGGATCTCTCTCCTGTTCCCTCATCTGCTCTACCATCTCCCCCTCACCTTCACCTGGGACTGAACCTGATCCACTGGGCACAAGGTTATCTATCCTCGTGACCTCCAACACAAGGAAAATGTCATGGTCTGATTTAGGCCAGAAGGTTCGGTTTCTTGTCAGGCTTTCTGAAGCCATCATAACTGCTCACTGAGGAGGGACATGGGTTCTGAAATCAACAATCCACTTGAAGAGCTCCACTGTGTTATTGGGCAAGGTCCTTAACCTCTCTGTGCCTCAGTGTCCTTAAGATGTTATTGATGTACATGCCTCACAAGATTGTATGAACAGCAACAAAAAAGATTGTAGGAACAATTAGGTGAGGTTATACGCTCACTTAATCTATATTAGCTATTGTTATTGTGCATTTTTAAGAAACTTAGAATAGTCCCAAGGCTGGCACAGTAGTGCACACCTATAATCCAAGCACTGTGAGAGGCTGAGGAAGGAGGACTGTAAGTTTTAGCCCAGCTTGGACAACTTACTGAGATGCTATCTCAAAATAAAGATTAACATGTAGCTCAATGCCATGAGTTCAATTCCAAATTAGAAAATAAAAAGTATGAGGGGCCAGGGAAACAAAGAACAAAGAGAGTTTGGGATTTGTGGGTATAGAAATCACTTGCTTTTCTGTGAATTTTTAGGTGGATCAGGAATTTCTGCCACATTAGTACCAAGGATTTAGGAACAGGAAAGTCAAAATGTTCCCTTCACAGAGGAAGCGTCAGGAGTCATGAAGCCCAGACAGTGCTACAGTGTTCCCCTAGAGCACCCTTGGGAGCAGGGTCAAGCTGCCAGCTCCTCCTAGCTCCACCCCAGGCCTCCGGCCTGGCTGGTGCCTACAGCCTCTTGGCCTCCTTCTCCACTGCTGCTTTGGCCTTGACTGTCTTCCTTCACCCCACCCTAACCCCAGGCCTCCCTGGAGCATGAAGAGGGCAAGATCCTCCGCGCCCAGCTGGAGTTCAACCAGATTAAAGCAGACATGGAGCGGAAGCTGGCCGAGAAGGACGAGGAGATGGAGCAGGCCAAGCGCAACCACCTGCGCGTGGTGGACTCACTGCAGACCTCACTGGACGCAGAGACACGCAGCCGCAATGAGGCGCTGCGGGTGAAGAAGAAGATGGAGGGCGACCTCAATGAGATGGAGATCCAGCTCAGCCATGCCAACCGCTTGGCTGCAGAGGCCCAGAAGCAAGTCAAGAGCCTCCAAAGCTTGCTGAAGGTGCATGGAGACTCCTGGAAGTGGAGGTCACCTTGCTCAGAGAGGGGCTGGCTTTCCTATCCTCTCAGACCTGACTGAGCAGCTGATCAGGGGTAGTGTCCCTCCTTGTGTCGTTGATGGCCCCCTCCTATGCCAGCACATCAGGCTTCCCATCCACATCCATTTCCACAGAACCATCTCACGCTGCTTCTTCTGGTCCTCAGGACACCCAGATCCAGCTGGATGATGCGGTCCGGGCCAACGATGACCTGAAGGAGAACATCGCCATCGTGGAGCGGCGCAATAACTTGCTGCAGGCTGAGCTGGAGGAGCTGCGTGCTGTGGTGGAGCAGACAGAGAGGTCTCGGAAGCTGGCCGAGCAGGAGCTCATTGAGACCAGTGAGCGGGTGCAGCTGCTGCACTCCCAGGTGGGCAGCACCCTTCGCACACAGAGGGAAGTGGGGCTGGCAGAACTCAGCCGGTGAGGATGGAGCGACTCATACTCAGCGTCTTTCCTCTGTACCCACTCTCTATCCTCAGAACACCAGCCTCATCAACCAGAAGAAGAAGATGGAGTCCGACCTCTCCCAGCTCCAGACTGAAGTGGAGGAAGCAGTGCAGGAGTGCAGGAATGCTGAGGAGAAGGCCAAGAAGGCCATCACGGATGTGAGTGCCCCTCAACCCAACCCTCTGGCTCTAGGCAGCATCTCCCTGGACCAGGCAGCGAGGGGTTGAGGATGTCTCTCCTCTCCCCTGTGTACAGGCCGCCATGATGGCCGAGGAGCTGAAGAAGGAGCAGGACACAAGCGCCCACCTGGAGCGCATGAAGAAGAACATGGAGCAGACCATCAAGGACCTGCAGCACCGTCTGGACGAGGCTGAGCAGATCGCCCTCAAGGGCGGCAAGAAGCAGCTGCAGAAGCTGGAGGCGCGAGTGCGGGAGCTGGAGAATGAGCTGGAGGCAGAGCAGAAGCGCAATGCGGAATCGGTCAAGGGCATGAGGAAGAGCGAGCGTCGCATCAAGGAGCTCACCTACCAGGTGCGGGTGGAGGGACAGGGCGTAGATGTGCCACAGCTTTCCCAGCTGCACCGCCTGGCTCACACAGGGACCCTGCTGAGCCACCCTCCCGGAAGGCCAGGCAACCCTGCTGTTCTTGAGATGCTGTCCAGGCTAGTCCTAGAGTGGTAGTGTTTATAACTGAGATGCTGTGCATAGATTAATTTCCTTTCATGCTCTCTGGGACCGCTTCAGCCTGATTCCATAAATTTTTGTAGCAAAGAAGAATCTACTTCTACTTCCTGAAATCTCATTTACAAGCATTTTTTCAGATTTTTTATAACTCGCAGTGCTATCATGAAGGCTTCAAAATAGCCCAAAGAATCTTTCCAGCTTCTATCAGCCCAACAGGAAGGGAGATCATGTGGTGTAGGAACAAGAGTGAGGTGATGGAAAATGACTTGGTGATCTTCCATGGAAGGTCTGAGACAAGTAAGAGGAGCCTGAGTAAAAGACCTCTGAATATTCTATGACCTCCATCTCCCAAGTCAGTTTTTGCTCTTGCTCCTCACAGTATCCTGGGAACGAAAACCATAAGAGATAAAAGTGTTGTGCCATTAGACAGATGGACACAAGAGGCACAGGAATGAGATGACAGATGCAGAACCAAAACCTGGCACGAACACTAGAAGAAATGGCATCCTAGTACATACAATAATATGGAGATATTGATGATCAAGTGACACTGAATCTAGTCATCCTGTTGCCTGAATTACGGCCTAGTACAGTGAGTTAGAGCGTTGGGCTATGATAGATTAGAATAATCTGAGTCGTGATAATCCCCACTTCTTTCTTCCTTGCAGGTGCCTCCACATGACCACATTAGCAAATTCCCTTTGATTCTGAGATCCTTCCTCCACTTCCATCTCTAGGTTTTCACTGCTTTGTGAATTCCTGACTGAGAGGCCTGCCCTTCCCCATTCATTTACAAATGGCGTCAGGGATGGAATCTTTCTCACCACCACTCTGACCTGAGCCACTGGAAGGAGGGGCAGCTGAGGCCTGAGGAGAACAGTGGCATGAATGGGGGAGGAAAAGTAATTATTCTTGTTCCTTCCCCAAAACTGTTTTCTCTCACCCACCTCTCCCAGACAGAGGAGGACAAGAAGAACCTGCTGCGGCTGCAGGACCTGGTGGACAAGCTGCAGCTGAAGGTCAAGGCCTACAAGCGCCAAGCTGAGGAGGCGGTGAGTTTGTGATTTTCCACCCCGTCATTAACACTCCTACTCTACATGAGCTGACGAGTATCTGCCACAGCAGGACCTGGACAAAGGTCTGTTCTAATCTTTACCCCCTAAAAGCATTTGTTTTACATGTCCAGTATGTTCAGAGGTGTATCAGACAGTCTGAGTTCACAAGAGCAATGCTGCATCTGCCCCTGCACCTGCCTGCCTTAGTTTATAGTTTATGCACCTTAAGTCTAAATGAAGGTAATAGAGATGCTAATGTGAGACAGGGGCAGAAGGTGCCCAGAGCAGGAAAGTACTGTATAGCTGGAATCGGGCCAGGAAGGGGCCTGACGGTGCAGGGCAGTGGGGAAGGTATCCCGGAAGGCAGGAAATTGGGGAAGTGAGGTGAGATGAGCACCCGTGTGCAAGAAACTGCGGCTCGGCAAGGATCTATCTGAGCCACATTTGGAACAGATACAGCAAATCAGATTTGGGGGAGGGGGTCATGCAGACAGCATGTGATTTGTCCTGGGCTGTGAGCAGCCCTGAAGGGTTCCTTCCGAGTGCTGGACAGGTCTGAGGAAGATGCCAAGCCAGGGGCAGGAAGCTTGAGAAGGAACAGGAACATGGGTGAGGAGTGGTGGTTAGGAGCCAAGTGGGTGGCTTGGGCGGAGAGACTGGGAGCATCCACATGGCCCCCTCTCACCTCAGGCTCCCTCTGCCCACAGGAGGAGCAGGCCAACACCAACCTGTCCAAGTTCCGAAAGGTGCAGCACGAGCTGGATGAGGCAGA